TCAAAATACTTTCTGATATACACCATAATTTCCTCTTTGGCCTACAGGTTATTTAGAAGTATATGGATTAAATTCCAAATCTTTTAGTTATTATTGATTTTTAGCTTTTTGTTATTGCTGTCTTAATATGTTTGGTCATAGTGTACTCTGAAGGATTTTAATCTTTTCACTGTTTTGAGACTTGCTTTATGGCAATTTTGCTAAATGTCCACTTGGAGACAATGTATCTTGCCATTATTAGATACAGTGTTCTACATTTAACTAAGTTATATCTGATAACTATGTTGTTTAGTTCACCTATATTCTTAGTGATTTTTTTTTCTGCTTGTGTACTTGCTCTATTGGTTACCATGAGAGGTGTATTAAAGACTTAGGGCACAATGTGAGTTTGTGTATGTATTTTTTTTAGTTTAGTTGGTTTCTGCTTTATATATTTTATAGCTTTGTTATTAAGTAAACATAAATTAAGAATTACTATATCATTCTTTGTGGATTAATACTTTAATAATTATGCCATGTGCTCTTTATCTCTTACCTTAAAAACTACTTTGTTTAATGTTAATATAGTTGTTCTAATATATTTTGGTATAGCTGGATTATTTTCTATTTTGTTAGTTTCAACTTTTCTGTACCCTGTTTTCTAATTGGATTTTATTTTTTATCCATTCTGACAACTTTTATTTTTTAACAGAATTGAGTCGATTTATATTTAATGTAATTACTTATATATTTTTAATTATATACATATCACCTTGTTGTTTCCTATTATTCTGATTTATGTTCTTTCAGTTCTATTTTTGCATTACTTATGATTAATCAAGTATTTTTCTTTTTCCATTTTTTCTCTATAATCCTGATAGTGATATTTTACTATTAAGTGTTATTATAAATGGATCTCTGACTTACTACAGTCTATTATAAATTAGTACTTATCTCACTTCCCAGATAGTCCTAGATCCCTAGATTGGTATAATTTTGTTTAACTCCTCCCATGTTTTGTGTTATTGTTGACATGCACTTTATTGTTCATGTATTTTAAACCTCATAAGATATTTTCATTTCTCTATTATGCAGTCAAGAGTCATCCAGACTCACCCACATATATACGTTATGCATTGCTCTTTGTTCATTCTTCCATTTTCATGTTTCCATCTGAGGTCATTTTTCTTCCACCTGAATAACTAACTCCCTTTGATGTTTCTTTTAGGTCAGGTCTCTTGCTGAAAAATTCTCTCAGTTTTGTTTATCTATAAAGCTATGTCATCTTCAGTTTTGAAGGATATTTTCACTGAGTACAAGATTCTAGATTGGCAGTTATTTTCTTTCAGCAATTAAAAGATGTAATTCCATTGCCTTTTGAATTTCATCATTTCTGTTGGGAAGTTGGCTGTCAGTCTGATTATTGCTTCTCTGAAGTAATGTCGTTTTTTTCCCTTAAGGTTTTCTCTTCATTCTTTTATCTTCAGCAGTTTTACTGATGTTCCTAAGTGTGATTTTCTTTGTATTAACCCTGCTTGGAATTTCTGTGACTTGGTATCTTTCCTCTCTTTTTGAAGTTGTTAGTGCTTATCTGTTTGAACTGCAATCTTTCTCTTACCTGCAGGGGAAATGTAGACATTTTCAATATATCTGATACTTTTTTTTTTTAAGAGATAGGGTCTCACTCTGTCACCCAGGGTGTGGTGCAGTGGTCATAGCTCACTTCCTCCTTGAACTCCTGGGCTCAAGGAATCCTTCTGCCTCAGCCTCTTGAGTAGCTAGGACTACAACCATGTGCCACCACACCTGACTATTTTTAATTTTTTTTGTAGAGATGGGGGTCTCGCTGTGTTGCCCAGGCTGGTCTCAAGCTCTTGGCCTTAAGCAATCCTCCTACCTCTGCCTCCCCAAATCCTGGAACTACAGGTGTGAGCCACTGCACCCAGCTTATTTTCCAGCCTTTTATCTCTTCATGCTTTGGCTTTAATATTTTTTTTACTTATCTATCTTACAGCAACAATTCTCTCTTCATCTGTTTCCAATCTTCTGTTAAACCTATTAATGGATGCCTTAATTTCAGTTACTATATATATATTTTTCAGTTCTTGAATATTCATATAATTCTTCTTTTATAAACTATAGTTCTTTTATACTCCAAAATATTATCATTTTTGAGCTATTTAAAGAGCTATACCTAGTAACTCCAATATCTGGTCCACTGTGGATCTATTTTTACTGTGTGGTTTTGTTTTTATCTTTTGGTCCTGTGTCTTGCTATTCCTTGGAAAGTATTGAATAGATGCTAGATATTGTGTATAAAAATTTTTAGAGACTCTGGAAGGTATTATCCTCCTTTGAAGAAAATTTACCCTATCATGTGGGAGACAGCAAGGCAGAACAAGGGCAGACTACCTCAATCTACTAAAAGAATGAACTGATTTGAAGCTAGATTATAGTCTTTGTAAGGGTCAGACTGTATCTGGTTCACTTACTCTCCTAGGTCCCATTTCCCTGACAGACTCTGATCTCCAATTTTTGTCTTCCCAGCACTGGGAGATTGCTATAACCTCCACTGGGTTTCTAGCAGATTTCTGCTCAGCTTCTTAGCCTCTCATTCTGGGCAAGGCAAACTGAAATTATGAGATATACTCTTATTATAAAATCTCTTTGAAATAATGCCATCAAAAAAAGAAGTGATGACATTTGTTCTTTGTGAACCTGTACTTGTTCCTAGTGATGAAAACTTCCTTTTCTAAGTGCTTACAAAAGTAACTTTTAAATAACTGATTATAAAAGCACAACTGGATGTTTTCAAAAATTGGGAATAATTTTTCCTGTTATTCAGGCTTTTGCACCTCTCCCAAACTGCATATCAAAAATACTCTGATTCCTTAAGCTCAACTGCAGACATAGTTTCTCAGGCTCAACTGCAAATTCTCATAGTACCTTTGAAAGTAATATACCTGGGATAGGAGAATTAAATTACAGTGATTAGATATTCCCTTTTAATCTCCATTACTAATCTTACAGGTACATTCCCTGCTAATCAATGTTAGTGTTGTCCATTCTTTTCTTGAAGGTCACTCTTTTTGACAGAGAATACAGAGAAAAAGGATTTGGAGAATAATTCTCCCTCCCCCATCTCTTTCTTTTAGTAATCTCTTAACAGAACATCGAAATCCTGCAGCAAGTCTCTCCCTTTTACTTTTCTCCAGAAACAACTCCTGAATTCTTACACTTACATGCCCTTCTATATATCTTTTATATATGATCATTTATTACCTAAATTTAACCAGCACAATCCCTATGAAATCATATTGCTCTTCTTCACATTTCCCCCTCTTTTTCCTGACAATTTATTTTGTTCATCAGTTACTAAGTTCCTACCAACAGACCTTACTATGTATCAGACACAGTGAAATAGATACACACACTCCTGTTTTACATCGATTGGTTGCAATATAGGCAATAAGCCAATTATAATGCAATGTGATATGTATTAGGTGCAATTTTAGTGTTATTTTGGAGGGTCTCCATTTTTCTTGACTATCTTCCATTTTAGAGATTATGTCCATTAATTTAAATTAATTAAATTTAAATAGTCGCATATGGCTAGGGGCTAATTTATTGGACCAGTAACCTATAGGGCGTATGTCATATTATGTTCAATAATCACCTGTCCTGACTATTTTAGATTTAAGATTAAATAACTAGTTTTTTTTAAGAGTTCTAATTTTTTTCCTGCATCTTCAGTTAGAGAGGTAGAGTTCTTATCTGTTAATCAAAATTAGGTTCATATAATTAGTTTTCCTGTCATTTCTTTCATCTACTGAGGATGCAGACTATTACCAAGGCAAACCAAAAATCTATCAGAAATTAAACTTTTAGCAGAATGAGACTTTGAGAATGCATTTAAATAGCTGACACCACATGATCATTATATATTGAATTTGTACTGTTATACTTTAAGGATCACACTTGGGATTCCTAGAAATATATTACCTGTAAGGCCAAGAAAACTACATAATAGAACATTCATATTAAGTGATTACTTCTGATCCTTTTTTAATGCTTACTCAGATACTTTCTATCTTGTTTCCACTCAAATTCTGCTCCTTATTGACATTATATAGTCACTAATGAATGTGCTATGTCTATAGTCAGAAATGCAACCTCATGGAAGAGACTGCAACCAAACTGCCAACTTTGGGATTAACACATGGCTTTTAACAAATTACTCCAATGCTTATGTGTGCAGATAGATACATACATAACGCATGTATTTCATAACTTTGCATGAAACAGAAATAGTGCTTTTCAGAAGATTAAAATAAATGGTTAATAAACTTAAAGAATGTAGTATAAAAAATTTAGTCTCATGAAGTGAAGGATGTCCTATATTAAGAATTAATTACCAAAGAAGACTTAAAAGTTTACATTGGTCTTTTTTAAAAACATAGAAAATACTGTTTACTAAAATCAGATGTTACCGTGTCTGAACATGGCTGACAACAGAAAAATATCATATGGCTTCTCAGGATATCTTCCAAATTTAACTATTGTGCGATATGCGTTTAATGCACACATGAAATATATGAACCGATTTATAGATAGGCACTTAAATTATTTTTCTAATGAAATGTGTCAGGTTGTCCATATTTTAGTGCACATCAATGTGAAGGGATAATAGCTCAGGTTTTGGATTAACACAGGCCTAGGGATTCTGTAATGTGTATCTCTAATTATGATGATTCCTGGCATCAAAAATAAGCTGGAAGCTTTCACATGATGTCTTTTTGGCAATATTTTAAGAGATTATGGGTGTCAGTCAACATTATTTAAGAATGCTCCCCTTTAAAAACTTTAATACTAAAAAATTTAAGATTCAAAACAGATAATTAGGGAATTAGTCACATTAAAAACCAATTCTTTACTTTGTTATAGGCTTCAACTAGAATTAATAAGCTCCTTTGTGCATTTAAAATAGTATTATGTTTAAAAATTTTTGTAAAATTACTTACGATTTTTCAGGAAACCTTTTATCACACAGAGCAAGACATACCTGTATTTGGGATAAAAATGCCACAACTATTAACAGGGTTATAATAAATGTGCTTCAAACTCATTACCATTATTATAATTATACCTTACATTTGTCTAGGACTTTACAATGTACAAAGCACTTTCACATACACTGTTTCTTTTAAAAGAAAGGCATCATAAGAACATGAACTAATACTAAATTTTTTTCTCTGAATAGTGACACTTTTAAAATGGAGATAGAAACCATGCTTATCTCTTTATAATACAAAAACTGCACATTTTTGATGAGCTTCTCAAAAGGCAAGATGGCAAAGCACCGGCTTTGGAATCAACAGGACCTATGTTGGAATTCTAGTTTTATTTACTTATTAGCTATGTGATTTTGAGCAAGCTAGTTAACTTGTCTGTGCATCATTTTCCTTATCTGTGAATTCGGAATTCTGACCCCATAGAGTGAGATTAAATGGAAAAAATTTATATATACTGAAGGAATACCTAGTATATAGTAAGAACTCAATCAATATAATGATGAAAATAATGTTACTTTTATTATTAAGCTGTTTTATTCTTTTTTATCAACCTTCATAACATTTCAGTAAAACTTAATGTACAAAGTAAATAATTAGATATGAGATAATGACTAATCTTATATCATAGATTAAGTCAGGAAGAGAGATATAGGTAGAAATATGTTTCAGGAGCAAATGAGACAGCACAACCAGGGGAAATGGAAGTCATTAGGAAAACTCTAGGATACATCTAAGCTGGTTTAAGTTTACAATGTTTAAACAGGGCACAAAGTTATACTAAAGATATTACTAGCAATTTTGCTTTACGAAGAGTAAAATGGAAGCCTATCTCTGATGTGAATGTTGAATGAAAGAAGAAAATGGAATCATATCTGTGAAATAAGGAATAAAATCAAATAAAGTAGGGCAAGGTGCAGAGAACATGAGGCTGGAATAATTTTACTTATAAAGGAAAATTAGAGCCTATTAGCTGAAGTGAGGTGACACAAGATCAGAAGAATGGGCTCCACATGTACTCGCCATCAAATTGGTACTGAATGATTAACACTATGGTGCTCAAATGGTGAGCTCAAATGGTGTTCACCAGGGATTTGGGGGTTGAGGGGATAGACCTACATCTGAGGGATGCGGTGAGCATTGTGGAGGGGAAGGGCATACCTCTAACCCTTGCTAGGGAGAGGCAAAGATATAAAAAGCAACCAATATGTTTGTACTCTCATAGTTTCTTGAAATAAAAAAATATATTAGGTAGAAAAAGAAGAAAAAAAAAAAAAGAAAATTAACTCACCGAGCATATAGATTATAAGAAAAGGATGAAAGATTGACCTGAACAGTTTGGCATTAGAAAAACCCCTCTCTGCTCCAGAATAAAAGGCCCTAATGAATCTCCTCAGAAATGTGTGTTTTCAGTTAACCATGGAGCCTCAATTTAAAGTATTTATTGTTTAAAGTAAACATCACTATTATTACGTAAATAACTGAAATTATATGGCCTACTTACATAAAATTAATACCATCTTCGCATTAATAGCATTCACTGATTTTATCTTGTTGTTCTTTAGAGAACACTTAGATAGAAAATTAATATTATTTGAAAGCTTATTCAGATATTGCACATTTGGTTCCAGACAACTGCAGTAAAGCAAATACCACAATAAAGTGAGTCACCGAATTTTCTGGTTTTCTAGCGCATTTAATAAATGTTATGTTTACACTATATTGTAGTCTATTAAGTATACAACAGCATTATTTCTAAGATAATGGACATGCCTAATTTCAAAATACTTTGTTGCTAAAAAATGCTAATGATCATCTGAGCCTTCAGTGCCTCATAATCTTTTTGTGGGTGGAGGGTCTCACCTTGAGGTTGATGGCTGCTGACTGATCAGGGTGGTAGTTGCTGAAGGCTGGGGTGGCTGTGACAATTTCTTAAAATAAGACAACAATGAAGTTTGCCATACTGATTGATTCTTTCACAAAAGATTTCTCTACAGCATGTGATACTATTTGATGGCATTTTGCCCAGAGTAGAATTTTTTTCAAAATTGGAGTCAATTCTCTCAAACCCTTCCGCCGCTTTATCAGCTAAATTTATGAAATATCCTAAAACATTTGTAGTCATTTCAATGATGTTCACAGCAGATTATATCTCAAGAAATCACTTTCTTTGTTCATTCATAACAAGCAACTCCTTATCCATTCAAGTTTTGTCATGAGATTACAGCAATTCAGTCACATTCTCAGGTTTCACTTATAATTCTAGTTCCCTTGTTATTGCCACTGCCATATCTGTAGTTACTTCTTCCACTGAAATCTTTAACTCCTCAAAGTCATCTAAAAGGGTTGGAAGCAACTTCCAACTCCTGTTCATTTTGACCTCTTCCCATGAGTCACACATGTTCTTAATGGCATCTAGAATGGTGAATCCTTTTTAGAGGGGTTTGAATTTACTTTGCCCAGATCTGTCAGAGGAATCATTATCTATAGCACTTATAACCTTACAAAATGTGTTTCTTACATAATAAGACTTAAAAGTTCCTTAATCAATGGGCTGCAGAAAGGATGTTGCATTAGCAGGCATGAAAAGAACATTAATCTTCTTGTACTTCACATCAGAGCTCTTGGGTGACCAGGTGAACTATCAATGAGCAGTAATATTTTGAAATGAATCATTTTTTTCCTGAGCAGTAGGTCTCAACAGTGAGCTTAAAATATTCAGTAAATCATGCTATAAACAGATGTGCTGTCTATCCAGGCTTTGTTGTTCCATTATAGAGCATAAGTAGAGTAGATTTAGCATAATTCTTAAGGGCCTCAGGATTTTTGGAATGGCAAATAAGCATTGGCTTCAACTTAAAGTCATCAGCTTCATTAGTCCCTAACAGAAGAGTCAGCCTGTTCTTTGAAGCTTGGAAGCTAGGCATTGACTTCTTCTCTCTAGCTATGAAAGTCCTAGATGGCATCTTCTTCTAGTAGAAGGCCGTTTTGTCTACATGGAAAACCTATTGTTCAGTGTAGCCACCTTTATCAATGATCTTAGCTAGATCTTCTGGATAATTTGCTGCAGCATCTACATCAGCATTTGCTGCTTCACTTTGCACTTTTATGTTATGGAAATGGCTTTTTTCCTTAAACCTTATGAATCAACCTCTGCTAGCTTCAAATTTTTCTTCTGCAGCTTCCTTACATTTCTCAGCCTTCACAGAATTGAAGAGAGTTAGGGCCTTGTCCTGGATTAGGCTTTGGCTTAAGGGAATATTATGTCTAGTTTGATCTATCCAGATCAATAAAACTGTCTCCCTATCAGCAATAAGGTTGTTTTATTATTATTCATGTGTTCACTGGAATAGCACTTTTAATTTACTTCAAGAGATTTTCCTTTGCACTCACAACTTGGCCAAGTGTTTGGAGCAAGAGGTCTAGTTTTTGAGCTGTCTTGGCTGTTGACATGCCTTCCTTGCTAAGCTTAATCATTTCTCGTTTTTAATCTAAAGTAAAAGATGTGTGACTCTTCCTTTCCCATGAATACTTACAGGCCACTGTAGAGTTACTAATTGGCCTCATATCAATACTGTTGTGTCTCAAGGAATAGAGAGGCTTGAGGAGAGGGAAAGATATGGAGGGAATGGCCAGTGGGTGAAGCAGTCAGAACATAGACGATATTTATCAATTAAGTTTGCCATCTTATTTAGTGCCCCCCCAAACAATTATGACAGTAAAATTAAAGACCACTGATCACAGATCACCATAAAAGATATAATAATAAAGAAAAAGTTTGAAATATTTTGAAAATTACCAAAATGTGACACAAAGTCAGCACATGCTATTGGAAAAATGTCACCAACACACTTGCTCAACACAGAGTTGGCACAAACCTTCAATTTGTAAAAAAACACAATCTGTAAGCACAATAAACCAACATACAATAAAACAAGGTATGCCTATATATGCCAGGTGTTTATATAAACTGCATAATTTCTACGCCCACATTATAGATTAAAACCACTAGATGATAAGCTTAAATTAATAGCTAATGGAAATGGAAGTGGCATATAAATCAAGATACTTTAGCTTGTCAACAAATGTTCTACCCCCACTCTCCCCATGCTTTTCCCTTATGTGCCAAAAGCCTTCAGTGAACAAAAAGTATACTTCTCTTTGATCCTTCTACCTCCATCTATTATAAAGAAAAGGGTTTTGCAATGCACAGAGAACGCAAGGGCTTTATAGATGCTTACTTGCAAGTTAATAGAAGTTAGATCTAGAATATCCAGATAACTCATTTTATTTTCTTCTGACTTTTTTCTTACTAGATAAAAATGTCTTTATCCTTTCAATGAAAGATATCCTCCCCTTCCTTTCAGAATCATATACATTAGAGATCAGGTCACCTAATATAATTCCATCAGTTTAGAGAGAAAGCAACTGGGATTTAAAGGTGCAAAGTGATTGATCCAAGTTCACATAGCTAGTTAATAATAGAATCAAGATTAAAACTTGGGTCTCCCATCTCCTATATCAATATTCTTTCCACAATATCACATTCTTTCCCCAATTCCTTTTGAAAATTAAAATTATGAGCTCTTTCTATCCATAATCATTCCTCAGTTAGAAAATGTGGGCGCTTTCTCTTATAAAAATGTATTTCAATGCAGTGTAGAAGATGGTTTTAAGAGCATAAAAGCTTTAAGTGGATAAAACTTTAGTCTATATATTCTCTTAGAGAAACAGAGACTATAATCTGCCTATCTTTAGTCATTCTAGAATTTGAGATAATAGGATGCTTTTAATGAAACACTGGCTCTTTCTTGACGAAATGGATGATATGGCTCTCTTTTATATACTAACTGGGATGGAAGATGAATTATTTTTCATTCTTTATGAGAATGACTGGCCAAGAGCTAAAGGTGTTCATAATTTTAAATGCCAGAGGAAATAATCTATCCTGACTTTGCGAAAGTAATAAGCTTCTATGTGTTCTGGATATAGCAGTTTGGATTGTGTCTCTTTCTACTCCCTGCCTTCAAATTTAAACAGTCATTTGGTTTCTAAAAAACTGAGCTTGAAGTTCTACTTGCAGATTGGACAGAGACACATTGTAAGCCAAATAAAATTATGACTCAAATCCTTTGTTACCTGTACAGAAGTTAAAGCACTAAGTAGTTTGTATGTAAAAATCAAACCATGGATGCCCCGGCCCATCACTCCACCAGTTTTTTTGTTTTTTGTTTTTTTTTTAAGGTGAGAAGATATATATATTTAGAATTAGCCAGCTGGACTCGGTTTAGATGATCCCAATCTTGTTGGCAACGTCCAAAGCATCATAATCAGGAGCCAGTTGAACATATGCCTTCTTCTCTCCATCAGGCCTGATCAGGGTGTTGACCTTGGCCACATCAATGTCATAGAGCTTCTTCACAGCCTGTTTGATCTGGTGCTTATTGGCTTTGACATCCACAATGAACACAAGTGTGTTGTTGTCTTCTATCTTCTTCATGGCAGACTCTGTGGTCAAGGGAACTGATGATGGCATAGTGGTCAGCTTGTTTCTCCTGGGGGCGTCTCCGAGGTATTTAGGCTGCTCCGGAGCCGCAGTGTCTTTGGCGCCGGAAGGTGGGTGACGTACGGGATCTTCTTTTTTTTGTGGCTGTGGACGCCTTTTAGCACTGCCTTCTTGGCGCTTCAAAAGCCTTTGCTTGTGCTTCGCTTTGGGAGGGCAGGAGCTTCCTTCTTTGCCTTGGGCGCCATCTTGTGAAAAGCACTCCACCAGTTTTTTGGTAAAACCTGAATTTCTATGAAATTATATCCAACACAAAAAACCATTTGATTATATTAGATGCTTTCTTTTTTAAAACAGTATTAATATAAATTGATTTATTAATAAGAGAGACTGCACATTTTAATGTATGCATCTCAAGTGAGTTTCAGGATAGTATACCTGAGAAAATCATGCGCCATCATCAAGGCCAGAAACACTCCATGATTCCCGCAAGTTTCCCCCTACTT